AAATTTTGTAGAATTGACAGCAACTGCATGTTGTAGAGACACAAGTGTAAAGGACGACGTTTCAAAACTCCTCCGCCTTCCGTCTTGAGGAAACGTCGCCCTCTACACTTGTGTCTCTACAACATGCAGTTGCTGTCAATTCTACAAAATTTCATCATGAATACTCTGCCTAAACAATCTATCAAATAATTCCCAGTGTTGTTATGAGGCGAAAGAACCTTGTTAAGGAAAGGTTTCTTATCACAGTGATCTGTTCCAATGTTCAACCTAAGAACTCCACTGAAGAATAAAGCTCCTTTACAAATACTACTTGCCCTAGTTTGTTTTCTCTTTGTACTTACATGTTTGTCGAATATTTCATACGACCCTTAAGGAAACAGTTGACTTGTTTAACCCACCTTCTAAAGATCCATGTTGATTTCGTAAAATATATGACGGTCAGTTTACACACAGCTAAAAACGATTTTTGAAATATCTTAGATTGAAGATATATGTTTCAAGATGTACATTAAAAGACTGAAATGAGATGTACCTATCTAAGATGTCTATTAAAGTAAGCGAGTTTTAAAAGTTTTTTTTATAAAATTGGTTATTTTTGCGTCTTAAAATAGATGAAAGTTATCAGATGGCATTTATCAACTAAAAATATGATGTCAGAAGGAGAAACAAGTGGTATAATGCAGACACAAACATTACCAAACACTTTCAATGAACGTTGTGTACTAAATAATAAAATCAACATAATTTAACCGTGTTTTCAGGAGAATATGTAGGTTTCTGGAAATGGAACTGTTCATTCTATAATACATTTATTTGTTTGAAAGCATATTTATCAGTCTTATATAAATATGTAACACTGTGCTTGTCTTAAACTCTTTATCAGTCTTCTCTAAATGTGGATGATTATGCTTGTCTTAATACTTTATCAATCTCATATAAATACGTAACTCTGTACTTGTCTTAAACTCTTTATCAGTCTCTTCTAATCATGGATGATTATGCTTGTCTTAATACTTTATCAATCTCATATAAATACGTAACTCTGTACTTGTCTTAAACTCTTTATCAGTCTCTTCTAATCATGGATGATTATGCTTGTCTTAAACTCTTATAAGTAGTGATGGTGCCATTTCTACTATCTCGATTACTATTCTAAATATGGGTTATTAAGTGTTTCTTCAATTAATATCCGCCCTAAAAGTTACAGTGTTAAATACCAAAAGCAGTTCAGTTAAACCCGTAGTTGTCGTAGTCCAGTGAAGTTGACGATTTCTGTTGTAGGTTGAAAGCAGTTCAGTTAAACCCGTAGTTGTCGTAGTCCAGTGAAGCTGACGATTTCTGTTGTAAGTTGACTCGTGACTGACAGAAGATAGATTTCAATGCTATTTTCACACAATTCTGATTGGACAAATGTAATGGATCAATTCAGAAGAATGTGAATAAAATCGTCTGTACGTCTAGCATGATTTTGTTTTTACCAATATCAGGCCTAACGTTATCTAAGCTCTAAAGATGGTGTGATTCTTTAATTCCTATTAGTTTTTCCTCGCTAGCTCAGTGTTTGTATAACGGTGATGTTTATCAACGTTGAAACTTTTCTCTAAATACACGTTTATGTATTTCTTCAATCTCATCTGGTCATTTCTATATATAGATGATGGTTTGGTTTCAACCACCACCAATCCTCTCTAAACATAAAGGATTGTGTGTTTCATCTGTCCTTATCAATTTCATCTATAGCCTGTAATGGGCAAGCCTCTGTAAATACAGATAATTAATATTTTTTTGTTTTCTTAATATTTAGAAGTAGGATCTAAACATAGTAATGTATGTGTGCTATAACATTTTAGCATTTATCCATTAAGCTAATGACGTTCGCATGTTTCTTTAATCTTTATTTTTGAAATATTGTTTGTAGGTTTTATCAATCTTGTTTAAGTTAGATTAATTCTGTGTCTTAAAGACTGCTACTAGTATTCAGGTTACACATAAATTATGATTATTCTTCTAGTTTCTTATGTAATAAACCAATACTTTTGTAAACATATCAAATGTTATTTTTGTGTTTATTCAAGTCGAGTTCTTATCCTTTGCCTGTAAATCTTTTAAGTTTATGTTATAACATAAACATAACGCCCAGCATGTGGTAATAACAATGAATAATCCCTCTAGAGGGGCAAGTCCATAATTTCGAAGCACGTAGATATAGAATTACGAACCTCTGGTGAAAAAATGTGTAAGAGATAGTGAGAGAGGTATCTTGGAATAAGAGATACAACGTGTTATTTTGATATAACAAAGTTTTCTGATACATTGAACTTCTGTTTAAACGCAACAGACTTAGTATGGATAAACTATAAGCAATTTAGTTAAACATCAGTCTTTATTAAATTGCGCGTAGATCCATTGTGAGTATATTGGAATACAGATCGTGTGTTACCGACATTAAAAGAGATAAAGACTATTACATTAATAACATATCAATGTTTAGAGTTAATACTGAGTGTTAATCGCACTTCGCAAAAATAATGTTCCAGGTGCCATGGTTCCTGTAACTATTTCCTCCATCTTTGATGACGATAGTCTTATCGCCATATCTACTCACTATTGATTGACACCACAATTTCCATTGTAACAAGCTTCTGCAAAGACAAGCGAAGCCAATCTTGACAGGATTCTCCATAGGTCCTCCACTATTCGTGGATATGTCCAGCTTCTAAGACCACTTTTAAGTATAACAAAGGCACAAATGCCCAATAGAGAAATCAAAAGAGAACTTGACAGCTTGGTCGAAGGGACTGCTGTGACTCTAGTATATTCAACCATCTGTATCGTGAAATATAAACGTTGATTTCGGGATGTGGCTGGAAGTTTGTAACTTTTGTTTGTGAGCCTTCGACAACTTTAAATTCATGTTCATTATTTTGGTAAACAGAACCAAGAATATACCCATTCGGCATCATCGCAATGACATTTTTGGTCAAAGTTTTCTTTCTTCCTATAACATTTATTTTACATATGAGGGCGTAACTTCAGATTGTTTTGGGGTGTGGTTTCAGAGCCGTTGTTATCATAACTGTTCTGTTATGGAAGTTTGTTTTGTTTGTTTGTTTATTTTGTTGTTCGACAGAGAGTATTAAACGTTGGTTTTCTTTGGAATATTATTTAGCAGTCAAGCTGTGTGTATATGTTTCTACGGAAGGATCTGTGACATAAATCTTAATTTGAAAATCGCGGTGAACCACATATATGGATGCTAAATATGTCACTAGTGACTTGAATAATACTTATATAGTAGTAGATTAATTATATTAATGAAATAAATTGGCAAAAAAGTAAAATACATATTTTAGTGTTCATTTCGACTTTTATTTTTCAGGTATTACATTTCAACTTGATTTTGGAGCCAATTTCAGTTAAAATATAAATTCCAGTAACTGGTGATTATTAACAGACACTTCTTTACTGCTGAAGAAAACAAGATCGTCTTTAGAAATTACTAGTGGTTTATAAATTTTTGTTTTTCATGTTATTCACCAAAACGTTTTAATGTTTCGTGTTTTTTGCTATCATAAACACTCAGTAGAATGTTCTAACAGATCGATTTAAAGTAAGTTTATATTTTAAAGCATTTGAATTAACAGATGGGAAGCACTTACCTCAAACAGACGATAGGCGGTATTCTTAATTCCACTACTCCAGCCGGCAGAAGGTGCGTGCCACTTTTAGTATAAGGTGACACCGACGTCCTGAGTCATGCAGAAGGAGTGTGACACTTTTAGCGTAAGGTGGCACTGACATCCCTAGTCATGCAGAAGGTGCATGATACTTTTTGTGTAACGTGATACCGACATCGCGAATCATGCAGAAGGTGTGTGACACTTTTAGTGTACGGTGACACCGACGTCCTGAGTCTTGCAGAAGGAGTGTGACACTGACATCCCTATTCATGCAGAAGGTGCATGATACTTTTAGTGTAACGTGATACCGACATCGCGAATCATGCAGAAGGTGTGTGACACTTTTAGTGTACGGTGACACCGACGTCCTGAGTCATGCAGAAGGTGCATGATACTTTTAGTGTAACGTGATACCGACATCGCGAATCATGCAGAAGGTGTGTGACACTTTTAGTGTACGGTGACACCGGCATCCCTAGTCATTGATAACCTTTATAGGCGAGTGAAACAGAGACTAGATGGCGTAAATAATAAACATTTTGTAGAAATTTGCTACATCAACTGATAGCTCACCTTAAGTGGTTACTTTATCTACAGGGTGTCCATAAAGTCTGGAATCAATGTAAACATATTTTATTTAAAGACATAGATACAATATCTGTTTAAAATGCCCTCCGCCAAGTTCAAAACGTGTTTGTAAACGATACAGCATGATTGAGATATTGGATTTCTTTCCGGATGTTTGTTATTGGACTCCACAGCTATTTCTCTCAGTGTCCATCCTTGACCTCCACAAAACAGGATAATTTCAACGCTCTCTTGTAAGCTTAACGACATGATTATTACGTACGGGCAACACAAACCTGCAACAAAAAGAATAAAATATAAAATTAAGTAAAACATTTTTCAAATAAATTAAGTTTACATTGAGTCCAGACTTTATGGACACCCTATAGATTATCGCATATAACCGTGTCAGACAAGGTGGCTTCCTCTTAATTAAAAATATTTCATATATTTCAAGATTAGGTTTCCATTCTTCATTCCTCGTTCACTACGCCCCCTCCCATTTCTCAGCAGATGAGACATAATCTTTCTCAAGATAATCCTCTATAGTTATTATCACATTCAACTACATATTTCATCCATGAAGAACAGCAAAAGTGACGTAAAAAACTTTTAGTATTTCTGATTGGTTAAAAATAGAGACGCTCTGTATCCAAATAAACCTGTTAATAAAACTGTTCCTTGAATATAAGTTACCAGAATATTTCACATGTATACACATACATACAAGTTGTCCGAAAATCTGGAGCCATGGGCGAGTTGCAGATTTTTTTAAATTTCAGATTCATGACTGATTATAACGCTACCAAAGCAGGAGAAGGTCAAGTTAATCCTACTGTTAATCCAAGTTTGCTTCGAATTACAAAGACAGCACGTAGAACGCATTCTGTAAAATTCGTTGGAGTGCCTATGGTTCCATGCTTTTCGGACAACCTGTATACATACATAATATTATATATAAAATATTGTGGTATACTGCGTTTCAATTGCGAAACACGTGTTTCTCAACACTTTTGTGTGTTTAACTTTTACATATGTTCCATCACGTTTGAAAACTGAAGCCTACAACGTTCTAAATGTTTGTTTGCCTATTTCCCTACTCTTTGCACGTAGTCAGCCATGTGAAGATGTGTTTTCGAAAATAATATATAAAGAACGTTGAGTACTCAATCTGCTCTTATAAATCTGATTATTATAAAGTATGCTAAAGCTGAGTGCAGAGTTAAAGGTGTGGAAAGCGTATGTCTACTGCATCATGGGTGTACTTCCTTATATACCTCCACAAACAAGGTGTGTTGTAAGTGGTGAGAAGGTGTAATTTGATTTTACTTTTGTTGTTGTAATCTTATTTTTATGCGGGATTTTCCTAAATATGAGCATATATATATGTATATATATAAAACGTTTAAAACACATAGATACTAAAATATACAATATATATTCATATACATGTTTCAAGATTAACTTCATTATATCACACATAAGTTTATTAACACATTGTCAGGTTTAACATAAATTCATTAAGATCCCATACTATAAACTTTTTTTATATAACATTCTACGGTTATATTAAAATCTCTTATATAAAGGGGATTGTTACGTTTGATTTTACGTTACACTGCCCACGATTCATGTGCTGGAGCTACTGTATTCGTTCACTTGATTTCTGATATTAGTCTTCTTCCAAAACTTTAAACAGTGACGCTTCCTTTACACAAGGTATTCCATTTCTTGTAACTTTCAATGTCTACCTAAAAAGATTGTTTAAAGTACATTTAACACCGTTTCTATTTTTCCGATTTTGTTAATCTCCCTTTATTTATTGAAAGCTCAGACGTTTCGTTCTGTGCTCTGTTATTCTGTTGTTTCGGCTAACTCTACGGCTACTTATTTAAAGAATACAGCAACTAATAGCATGTTTTATAGGTTAAACTTTATCCTACATGTAACCCATTACCACTTAGTTGACAGAATGTTCTAACTGACAACTAGTTTTGGAAAAAGTAAAAGGTCATGTATGAATGGTCTAAATTATACATAGGCAACATTAAGCCAGTATAGTTCTTTTCCAACGTGCAATGACGAGTCAGAAGTATTATTTAAGGTCGAGCAAAAATAAGCGGAAATAGCCAAAAAGAAAAGCAACTTCAATCAAGAAAATTATCGTAGACTAGAAATGCTAAGGCCTGAGAAATGTTAACGCCTAGTAAATGGTTACAGTTTATATATCAATTATAAATTGCCAATCTTCATCGTTACATATTCTATAATAATTCAAACTAGCGGGGTATTCATGGAGATAATATTATAGCCTGATTGGTTATTACCATACTTGCAGAAAATAGAAATATATAAAAATTACTTACTTTTTTGTTTATTTCGAAAGTTATTCATTTTTAATTTACTCGTCTGTGAAGAGAGAGGCCTACCGAGTTCTTATTATCTTCACTAGTTATAGTTCATTTTTTATTAGCTGGAATGTTTTCCGGTTCACAAATATATCATGTAAAATATTCAATTGGTGCTGTATATATATATATATATATAGCACTGGCCAAAATACCTGTTTACCAGCGGTGGTTAACGCATTTTGGAAAGGATGATCAAATTAGACATACTAATACTGAAAGCCTTATATTCTAACGTTATTCATGCTCTGTGCTCTGTTTCACAAGCTTCTTAACTTTGGCCCTCGAGCGATGCTTTCATGACATCAGTCTTTTTCCGAGAACAGCTTTACCAATGTTGTTCTCCCTTATGCAACTTTCCACAAACTGGCTAATGTCTAAGACCTACGAGTGTAATTTAATACAAACCAAAGTTCTTTGGAGCTACATTGGAAGACTCGACAGGTTGTTAAAGGACAGGATTGCTGCGATTCTAGTTCTTTCGGCCATCTTTCTTCTGAAAATAGCGTACATTTCAAGGTGTGGAAAGAAGCTTCTAAGCTTTAGCCAGCTCCTCATTTTTGTTATCTTTATAAGTGTACCAACAGATGTGTCCAGGTCCAGCTTCACTTTAATGGCAGTTAGTGTTAGAACGTTTTCATTCGTATCCAGTGTTAAGATTGAGGCTCCATAAAGATAAAATTTGGGTTTCGGTTCTCTTGGCGAATACAATAGAAATAGTAACTTTGGGCTAAGGCAAACAAACAAACAAATTGTTCTCATATCTTTCATTTAGCAACTGAGAACATTGCTTTAGATTGACTTGAGAGTACATGTGTTTTCAGATTCCATTGTTGTCTTAAAAGTTACCTGTTTGAGTTTCTCCGCTTTCATACGGAATATTGATGACTTCTTTTTTTTAAATGTATCATTTGGCTTTATGCTGTTTAACAACCACTCTGTGACTTGAATTTTTCCAACCATAACTCTATCTTTGTAGGAAACTTGTAAGGAACCAAATATACAGATGATGAATATGTCACCCTTGGCGCCACATTTCTCTTCTGTAGCGAACTGTTACTGTATTAGCACGTGCAAAGCATTCTTATAGAGTGCGATTAACTCTCTCTGTTAGTACACGATTCAGATATTAATTTATGAGCTAATCTCCAACTTTAGATTATTAAATACAAATACAGATTTAAGACCATTAGATATAAGATTGTTTCCAGGTGAGTCAGCTGTAAGTTTAAAGATTTGCAACGCTAAATTCCGGGATTCCATTCCCTGCGGTAGACAGAATGCAGATAGCCTATTGTGTAGCTTCGCGCTAGAATCAAAGAAACGAAAGATCTAAGATGAGTGTATAAGTTAAATATTAACACAAATATTAACAGAGACAATGTTAATAGATTAGAAACAGATCAAAATTCGCGTTTTAAAAGCAAATATAAAATTAGACGGTTAAAATTAAATCCCAGATTAGCGTAAGAGCTAACTCATCCTTCTAGTTTATTAGATACAAAGTCAACGTTAATTTATTTAGCTACGAATCCAAAAAAAATACTGTATTAGAAACAGATTAAAGTTTTGTATATTAGTACAAAGCAAACTGATGTTAACTGATTAAATACAAATCAAACGCTGGTGAATTACAAATAGTTAAAACAATAGTAGATTAACTTCAAGAATAAATAAATTGGACAGCAAAATACACGTTTTAGAATTCATTTCAGCTGATATTTCGGTAATACACTTTAACTCCATTCTGAAAACAGTTTCTATTAAAAGTATAAGCGATATATCAGTAAATGACGATTATTAACACATTAAACACTGTTTACTCCCGAAGATGACAAGATCATCTGTCGACATTTCTAGGTCTTTATCGTTTCCTTTTTAATGTCATTTAACAATTTGTTTATGCCGCTTGTTTTTCAAGCTACCATAAACTCTCACCATAATGCTGTAACAGATCGATTTATAGTGAAGTTAATTTTAAAGCATTTGAGTCAAACAGATGGAAAGTACTTGAGTTACACAGGCACTAGGCGTTATCTGTAATTCCAATAGTTGAGTCGCATATGTTCTTGTTTTTTTGTATATGTATTTGTATTCACGGCAAAGTTACTAAAACTGTCTACAGCCATCTCTAATTTTGAATTACTGACTAAATGGAAGACAGGTAGTCAGTAGACCCACGCTAATGGATCGACAGTCACTCTTATAATGCATTCACAGCTTATAATGTGGGGAATATTTTATGGTATCACCAGCTCCGACATCCAGAGCTCTACCACAGGGCCTACCCGCGCCCTATTTTAGTCAACAGAAGTCGTGTAACACTGTTTGATATAAGTGACACCAAATGACACATTCCGAACTACTGATAACATCTGTGTGCGAGTAAAACATAGAAGAGATAAAATAGATAATAAAAACATTCATAGAATTTTCCTGCATCAACTGAAGTGCTCATGCTAACTAATCACTTTATCTAGATCACAATATATAACCGTGTCAGACAAGCTGGCTTCCTCTTAAATAAAAAATATTTCATTTATTTCAACATATGCTCCATTCCTCGTCCACAACCTCCCATTTCTCAGCCGACGAGACATAATCTTCATGAAGATAATCCTATGTAACTACATATGTAACATTTAACTACATATTTCAACCATGGTGAACAGGAAAAAAGTGCTGGATTCAAATAAGCTTTCTGTGTGTTAATAAAGCTGTTCAATGAGTTAATCCTAAATTATTATTATTTTGTTTTAAACTATGTATATAATGTTTATCTTGCTTTCTTAAACTATGTACATACTGTTTGTGTTGCTTTACTGCTTATTTCACTTGTGGATTTATTCATTACAGTAAGCAAAGACTTTATTTCAAGCGTGAAAGTA